GTTATCATCAATATCATATTTACAGAGCAACATTAAAAATAGTCACCTCTGACTTCAATGCTAAGGTAGGATTTTTAATATTTAGTTATTAAAATCCAAGTTGGTTAAAAGTCTCAGTTTCCACCGGATAACAGTTTTCATTTAAAGAAGCTTTCATTCCTGTGAGTGTGCCATTCTGAGGCTTCAAGAGTTGAATGCAAGGAGTTTTCTAAATTAAAATATCATTTGAGACTAGATATTTTCACACCACCTAGGACTATAACTGACTGCATGCAAAGATTCATATTTCCTACCCCTTAGAAAGCTATTTTCTTGCATACCCCCATTTTTTCTGTTGACAGAATGCCAGTTTTGGTAGACTGTTGATAATATAAGGAAGCTAATTCATTCTAGTCAGAGCTAACTGTGTGCTTATCCCCTAATTTCCAACTCACAACTCGGAGTTTTGACTGTACCTTTTAAGTTGTAGTTGCTTAATTATAAACTGTTAAGTTTCATGGCCCACACTTACCCTGTCTCTGGGACTGAGAGTGGAAAGAGGCTCTGGAGTTGGTGAAGGAGGTTAAGATGGGACTTCTGCATCCCAGGAGCTCATCTAAAGCGAAAGGAGCAAAGACAGAGCCCACCCACCTGGCATCAGTAGATCGGAGATGAGTAGATAAGTCCTACCCAGGAGTAATGATGGAAGAGAGCACAGATTCCAGAGAGGCCCCTCTAACATGCAGACAGCCACGCCGTGTGGAAGGAGAGTGTCCAGAAGATGGCGTGTTCCTGACAGCTGCTGTAAATCTGTATTGTGAATGCTATCTCCATATTCTGGCCCAGAGACCTGTTTTAAAACTACTGTGAGACTGTGAGATGCAGTCAGCCACAGAGGGAGCAGGTGCCTTCAACACGAACACAGACACCTGCAGGAGCCGGGTGAGTAACTAACCTGTCTGAAACCATAAGGTGCCTGCCATGTGCTGGGGGCGGGCAAGCCGTGCTCAGCCATGCTAAGCTCTCTATTTTCAAAGTTTGACAGCCAGTTCCAACTTTGAGGAAATGGCCGGGCCACCCAAGGTCTTCTTAGTCACTCATTCACTGCTGCCTCTGAAATCATGGTTGATAAAGCTATTGCATTTAGAAGAAAACTGCTAAGCACTGGTGAAAGCTGAGAGGTATGAAAACAGCTCCGGGCCCTTGTCTCAAAACTGGAGTGTTTCCACAGACTTGAATAATGAATTAAATGATTGCGTTAATATGCCTCACCTCACCAAGCAGATGGTAGACAAAGTCTATATTGTCTCAAAAAATATTGTCAAGTCTGTATAATTTATAATTTGATACTAATAAAATTAATCTACATATTGTACGAGTCATTCATTTCCTGCATTGTTTCTAAAAACAGTATCTCCCTTGGGATGAGAGAGACATCATGGTTACTGCGATTTTACATAGCAAGACATGATAGACAAAGTAACCCATCAACCAGCATGCCCAGGTTTGTTGGGAACTGGCCAACTCTAGTTTGCTGACAAATGCTGGTGTTATCTACCTTATCGTGGATGCTCAGAAGAGCTCCATGGACACCAACCCTTTGGTCATCTTGAATCTCTAGTTCTTTTAAATTTTTATTTTATATGTATGAGTGTATTGTCTGCATGTATGTACAGGCACCTGTGTCATGCAATACCCACGAGGTCAGAAGAGGGTGTTGAATCCTCTGGAACTGGAGTTCCGGACAGTTGTTAGCTGCCATGTGGGTGCTGGGAACAAAGCCTGGGTCCTCTGCACGAGCAGCCACTGCTCTTAACTGCTGAGCATCTCTCCAGCCCCAGTTCTCTGGTTATTAATGTCCGCTGTTTCCAAGGACAGTCCCACTTAGAAGGAACCAAACCTTCATAGGTGTTGGTGGCATGAACCAGTGGAATCAATGACTAGATTTCTTTGCTCATGTGGGTTCCTGGAAACAATATGAGAAGCAGTACTTTGCTTTGTTTGGAGTCAGAGGAAAGGGGCGGAGGGGACCAGGCATGAGTTCCTCTTCTAGTGAGAGCGACTGCACGTGTTGGGACCGTGCACGCAGAGGGAAGGAGGAGGATGTTCCAGGTCACCCGCCACTGTCTGGTCAACTGGGTGTTTTGAGGAAGTCTTGGGAGGCCAGAACTCTGTGTGTCTGCCTTGACCCTGGCCCTCCTCCACCCATGGAAGGTCGCTAACTTCACACAGTCACAAGGCAGAGACTCACAGACACCAAACTTATGCAGGTAAAAAATTTGTAGGAACAGATTAGTTGTTAAATTTGTCGGACCCAGTTAGGTGGGAAACCCCGACTTTTACAGCGTTCGTGTGCTTTCCTGAGACGCTGCTGTTCTGCCCCCTTTACCACTTGATCCTCCAGGCAAACCCGGCTATGGGAGGCCTTGCGCATGAGGATTCTTCTGCGGCCCACTGTGGTGCCTCCCAAGGCTCACTCCCCTTGAACTTGTTTGCACTTGAAGAGCTACAGAGGCGACTCCCTGTTTGGTGTTATCTTTCCTTCCGTCTTCATTTGGGGCTTTTGTAGCCTCTTTCTATGTAAAGTTGCCCATTTCCTCCTTTCTTCTGATGAGTCAGGTCTTCCTTTGTCATCTCAGCTTTGTATGTAGATAAGATTCTGTGACTATCAGACCTTCAAATGAGGCCTGGCTATGTAGTGTATGACCATCAATTACAGTTTTATCAAAGAATCAAAATCACTATGGATGGCATGGCATGCTGGGAGATTTGCTGTAGGGGTCAAACACCATAGAGTGAGCGTGAAGAATCAGGACCCTCTAGGGAAGGCTGTTGCTTCTGCCCTGGTAGGGGCCTGACATCTGTCTGTCAGTGGGGCTGATGGATGGACAGAAACCCGGCTTAGAGGTGAGGTGGAGGAGAGCCAGGGCAAACTGCAAACCCATGAGGGCAGTTGAAATTTGCATTTAGCTTCTGCCTCTGAGAACTTCACAGTGTAGATGACCTGAGAAGGAAGCTGGCCCCCTCCCCGTGGAGCTGCGTGTACTTCCTGCCCAAGACTGGGAGGAGCTGATCTGAGAGATGGTCGACAGGAGGCCAGCCCCTTCCCCACAGCCAGCTTGCGAGCCAAAGGCCAGGGTAGGCCACTGTGACACTTGCTTACCTATTCCTTCCAAACTAAGTGACAACCATTTTACGTCAGCCACCACCCAAATCTCATAAAAATATCTCCTGCCAACACAATATATGACCTCATAAATAAGGGAACTGTGGGAAATGTAGTTCCACCTTATCTAAATTGACAGTACAAAATCACTTCCCTGGAGCCCGCTTTCACCTCAGTGACAGTGAGTTTTAACTGTCAACTGGGTGTAATCACAATCACCTAGGAAGAGAGTCTCTGGGAAGGATTGTCCAGATCAGGTCAGATCGGCCTGTGGGCATGTCTCCAGGAACTGTTTTGTGTTGGTTGAGGTGGGAAGACCCACCCACTGGCTCAGCAGTTAAGAGCACTGACTGCTCTTGCAGAGGACCAAGTTCAATTCCCAGCACCCACATGGCAACTAACCACCACCATGAGTTCAGTGCCAGGGGATCTGACGCCCTCTTCTGGTCTCCATGGGTATTGCACTCATTCAATATACACATACACACAAAGATAAATACTTTTATAAAAAAGAAGAATTTGCTTGAAATTTCTGTCCATGCCATACAGAAGTTTGTCCTGGATGAAAGTAAAAAAAGGAGACTTGTGCAAATCTGCATGCAAGTCAACAGTTACACTTCATGTAAGACTAGAGTGAAATATCCTGGCCAGTGGTTCGATCTCTGTCCTTGGCCTTTTCCCGAACAAGGTTTATTTCAATGTCTGGCACAAAGAAAGAGTCAGCAACATTATAAAACACGGAGACGACATAAAGTTGGGATACAAAGATAACACGATTGATGAGGAATAAAAACGTCAGAAAACTTGAGCAAGGAACAAAGCTGTTCTGATGAACCCAGGAGAAATGCAAAGCTTATCTCTGGAAAGCTCAGCAGCAGAAACTCAGGGGAGAACAGCTCGTGTGAAAATTAGTCACTGAGATTTTTAATAACCTCTGCCTACAGATTCATCGGTTTCAACATTTATCTAGTACTTAATAAATACAAAGAGTGTTGCAGAAGTCTGGGCAGGTATGAGGCGTTTCATTGTAAGTGGCAGTAGACTGCAGATGCTTGTGATGAGGGTTGCAAGGAGGAAGGCCACATAATTTTGGGTTTAACTGGGTAAGGGACAAGATACAGGGAGAACCTAGAATGCTTGCTGGGCTTTTTCCACTAGCTGGACGGACAGTAGTCATGTCCATTAGACAGAGACTATCAGAATGGGGTGGCAGGTAGGAGAGGGAGCCAAAAACTGGTTTAGTCTTATATAAGGAGTTTTGTTTTAGAGACATCCAGGGGGAAAATGTAATTTGGATGTCTAGACTCCATGAAAAAAGTCAGGACAGAATGGGCATAGTGGCACATGCCTTTAATCCCAGCACTCAGCAGATAGAGGCAGTCAGATCTCCGTGAGTTCAAGGCCAGCCTGGTCTACACAGTGAGTTCCAGGCAAGCTGGGCCTACAGGGAGACCCTGTCTCAAAATACCAAAGAAAAAAAGTTAGGACTACAAATAAAAGATTTAAGCATCATTAAAACATGCCTAACATCCCTAGTAGCTGAGCATGGTGGCTCGTGCCTTTAATCCCAGTACTTAGGAGGTAAGTTCCAGTCCAGCTGGGGCTACAGGGAGACCTTGTCTCAAGAAGATCCCCCCCCAAAAAAAATCCAAAGCCATGCCATAATCTAACGGCGCCAAAAATAATCAGATGTTAAGAAGAGAAGTCAGAAACAGAAATTAAAATCAGAGAGCTGGTGAGAGACCA